AGGCGGACACGCGCGCGGAGGCGGGCACCAGTGCGTTCGGTCAGCCAGCGGGCCGCGCCGGAGAGGCACACACACTGGACGAGCGGGAAAGACGAGGGCGGCCGCGGGCGTGGAGCGCGGGGGGAGGCCTGAGGCTTAGAGTTGTCAGCCACGCGCAAAGGGGGGGGGGAGGGGGGGGGCTTCTTAGAAGCACCCCTGCTTCTTAGAAGGCGCGGGCCTTATGTATAGATGTGAGGCCGGCGCCTTCTAAGAAGCAGCCTCCTAAGAAGCCCCCCCCCCTCCCCCCACCCCCTTGTGCGCGGCGCCAAAGTTGTGATGTTCCAGCTCACTTGAGCCTTGATCGCCAGAAAGAAGCTCGAGCACCCAGAAAGAAGTACCGACACTTGAGGGTCTTGACGCGTCGGGCCCTGGGAGGCGGCACTCGTTCGACACTGTTTCGACACTTTTCTGGGTGCTCGGAACGATTTCTGGGATGTGGGCCTTCAGTAGGATAGGAGCAACATAAGAGTTTAGATAATCTTGGCTGCGAGGAGTGCGCTACTCGGCACGCGCGCACCGTTTTCTGGGATCCGCGCGGATTTCTCGGATCGGCGCTGGACCCTTCGCGCGCTCCGCGCACCAGGGATCCAGCACCTGTCCGCGAAGTCCTCGCCGACCTCCAAAAGCTGGGTCACCCGTGGGAGCGTGAAGATCAAGGGAGGAAAAACCACCCGGACCAGACAACTGGCGTTTACTAATCGGGGGTGGACAACCCCCACGAGTGACACGTCGATTAGTGAATTGTCCGTTTTCGGTTCTCGAGAGGGCGCCGCGGTCGTCATTTTCCAGGCCTGCGCCCGCCAGGTTTGGGCCTCAGGTCGTTTTCACTAAACCACGTTTTACTAAAGGGAGGTGTGTCCATGCCCGAACTAAATGGCCTTGGGCGTTTACTACACAGCCCTGCCCTCTTCGATTCATCATGTGGGCGCGTTTACTAAGCGGCTTCGCGTGTCGGGGTGCTTTTGATGGGGGTGGAAGTCTTGGCTTCTAGAAGAGAATCGCGCTTCGCGCGTCGCGGTATGGGTCGGAGCGACCGCCCTGCTCCGAGCGGCTCGGCGCGGCGGCGCGGGGGGCCAGAGATAAGTCGCGCGTCGCGCACCCCGCGCGGTCGCGAGGCGCAGAGGTAGGTGACCTCTTGACAGTTTGCGTGTCGTGCCCATTTTTTTCTGCTTCCGACCAGGCTGGCCTTCTCCCGGGATCCCTCTCGGGGACGGAAAGGAGGGGGGTGACGACTAGGGGGGGTGGATATCATGGCGGGGGCCATGATATTTCCCCAGATTTCATGGCGCCTCTTCTTATTTCATCACGTCCCTAGCCCCCCCGCTGGGCCGCGCACATGCCGCCGGTCATGATTTGCACCCCCCCTCTTGGACACCCCCCTCTTGGCCGCTCCCGACCCTCAGGGCGCCAGAGGTGGGGGTGCGGCAAACGGGGGCACGGGGAACGCCAGTTTCCACGTTTGGCTTATGCCCCCGTTCAGGGGGCCCTGGGCGCCACAGACGGGGGCACAGTGAGCGGGGGCATGTGAAAAAGCTTGAGCCCGCGCTTAGCTAAACCCCTGTTCAGGAAGCCCCGAATCCCCGTGGCGCCGGGCAGGGCGGCCAGGGGGGACGGTTGCACCTCGGCGGCGTGCAGTCCGGTCGGACAGGCACAGAACTACACTTTGGGCGAGTGGATTAGCTTCTAGCGCGGATCCCCCAAATCCGAACTTATTTTTGCGACATCGTCTTACGTATTGGTTCGCCCGCCATTCGAGGGGGCCGATCGCGCCTGTCGGATTAGCTGGGGCCTCGACGTCGCTTGCCAGTGTCAGTGTGGAATTAAGACTAGCGCCTCACGAGTGGATTGGAGGATGAGCGCAAGGTGAGTCTTTCAGCTGCGGGGGAGCGCGGGCGTTTGCCGCCACGCAGGACCCACGGGCAATTGGGAAACGTTCAGGGACATGGAGGGCGGCAGGTAAAGGCAGAACGGGGCAGGGGGAGAGCAAAGCAGCGGGCGGGAATGGGGAACATAGTGACCAGGCGAGATGAGCTGATAAGGGGAGCGATGTGGGCGGAAGCCGCAAATTCCTTCGGATAGCCCTGGGACGTCCAGACACCTCCGCCCTGAGGCCGGCAGGGGGTTCAGCGGCCCTTGCCTTCCTGACTCTGCGGGGTGAGTCTTTCAGCTGCGGGGGAGCGCGGGCGTTTGCCGCCACGCAGGACCCAGGGGCAATTGGGAAACGCTCAAGGAAATGGAGGGCGGCAGGTAAAGGAAGAACGGGGCAGGGGGAGAGCAAAGCAGCGGGCGGGAATGGGGAGCATAGTGACCAGGCGGGATGCTCTGATGAGGGGAGCGATGTGGGCGGAGGCCGCAGTTGGAATTCCTTCGGGTAGCCCTGGGACGTCCAGACACCTCCGCCCTGAGGCCGGCAGGGGGTTCAGCGGCCCTTGCCTTCCTGACTCTGCGGGCGGGGCGCGACGACGCACCGGACCTGTACCCCGTCCCTTTCGCT